GTAACAAAATAGGGCGCTCATTTCTCCCCTGCGGAATAACAGATAATGCTTTGGCGTTTAAAACGAAGGATGCATGGCTTCAGTCCCAATGGGAACTCCATCACTTTCTAGGAAAGCAAGTGAATTCAGCTCACAAGTCGCAAACAGAACCAAAAACACATCCTGGTTTCCACCGCTAGTTACCACCACTTTCATACCTGATCACATCAACAAGTTGGATAGTGTTTTGCATAAAGCTACATGCTACTGATTGATTGCGATGATCAGTTGTATACCACTGATACCAATCAGAAGTACTTGCTAGTCAGATAAAGGTTGTCTATACACCGGATGACCATGAAATTTCCCTCCTCAAAATGTGTAGACTACAAGTTTCTAACTAATTTGCAAATGGTGAATTCAATTTATGGAATTACCAATTCATCCAAGCAGCTAGCTAGAGATAAGATGATTTGAACTGATCCGTGTTTCTGAGCTGAGTCATGCAGGGTATACTGCCGATGAATTCGGCTCCTAAGAAGCAAAAAGGCCGTCTGGTGTTTACATCACCTAGATCAGGCTAGTTAGCGAGCACTATGGGTTGATATGGGTGATGTCCAATTACTAATCACAGTTAATCAGTAGTTTGTAGTTTTTTATGCGAAAATGCCTGCTGTTTTGATCACTATTAATAGTAACATGCAGATCACATATATTGTGATCCGAATAACTTGCTTTCTGAATTTCACCATTCGAACACTGTTGATCAAAATTTCTAACCAATTTGCAAAATGTGAATTCGACTTTTTATGGTCATTCACTTGTCGTCGAATTGTTAAAACTCAGTGAACTTAAACCGTCTACCATCCTGAGTCTCCCATGAACCTTTTCCACTCCATTTTGCTGGATAATCCATATATATTCTTTTGAGTGGACACTAGTGTCATCCGCTGGTTCAGTGGTAAAGTCTCTGACTGCAGCACTGGGTGGTACAGGTTTGAATCTCAGAAGGGACATAAGTTCCTTCGAAGTTGCAGATACGCCTTGCTGATTGATGAGTGCCAAGCAATTAGCACGAAACCTAGGTCCAAGGCTTCCTGCCCATTGCCTCCTACCATCTAATCCACATATATTACTGTGAAGTGCCTTAAAATAGCTGATATCTCTGAAGTAGGCAAATTTATTCTTCCCAAATCCCAATTTTACTTCCAAACGAAAAGAATTGCTTGTCGAAGTAAGACGTTACAGCGATTACTACAGAAGGATTCAACCTATTTTTTGCTGACGCGATTACGAAATATTTACATGCTTTAAGTGATTTTGTTTACCAATAAGAGTTTCAAAACACTTCAAAATTCAAAAAAAGAAATACTTCTTTTCATAGTGAAACATCTTTATTTTCATAACAAAACAATCCTTCTAAATTATGATTGATGAATATAGTAAAAAGGGGAAAACCCACTTGTGTATTTGAATTGTAGAATCTTTTCACTACTTTAACTGATGAAAATACATCACAGTTATTGTATATGTGATATGCCTTTCTTATTTATCATTAATTTATTTACAAATTGTTCGTGTGCGTGTGTGTGTGTTAGAGAGGGAGATAGAATCAGCTGTTTTTGTTATTGTTGTGGCAACATGTGTGTCCAATTGAATCTGATTTCTGCTAGATATAAACCACCCCCAATCCCCCACCCCACCACCCCCACGATCCCCATCACCACCAACACCACCGCTAGCTATGTAACAAGCTCGCTCGCTCGCACACACACACACACACACATGCGCACTAATATTGCTTATATTTTTAAATAGATTGTATGGTTAACCAATTTAACATAAACGAACATATCTGTATACACGCTAGCATACAAAAATCAGGTGTACTACTAGCACAAATGTCATGTTAAAATGAATTTATAAATTTGCTGATAACCAGGCTGTTATTGTTGTTGATGTTGTTGATGAATTTTGTCAATTTTGATTGATTAAATTATGACTTAAAGCATAATTCCTACAGGATCTCTCATCAATTCTCTGTATTTATGCAAGCATGCATGCAATATATAGTTCTCTCCTTCCTTAATATCTAAAATTTCCTTGTTATTGAAATTATACCTTATTAGGATTGCGGTTACAGCAGTTTACTACAGTAATGATGCCTTCTGCATGAAGTATTTAGGTTAGCGTCTTATAAAGTTGGTAAACGATCATTTCGTTGATGTGGTTATGAACTGACGTCGGTTAGAGAAACATTGGAGATTAGAGAGCACTGGAAAACTGTTTACTCCTAGCTTGTGACTTTTCATCATCACTACGCACTGACGACTGTACCGAGGGTCAAAGTAAGGATCTTAAGTTTACGTGGTGAGACCGCTGACCATACAGGCTCCAAGTTGGAATTTAACGACCTACGGATTCTAAGTTTTCTCGGTTCACAAATATAGCTCTCTGTCAGAAAGCGTACAGCATACTGTATATGAATTGAAGTCTCTGGGTAAAAAAATCTTTAGTAGTATACGTCCATATCTCTAGAAGGATGTGTGTGTGTTGTCCTCTGTAGTTCCACTTCTGGTTGTTATAACCACAATTTCACGACTGAAAAAGTATCTGATATAACTTCAGTTGATTAGGAGATATGAGTAAAGGAAAAACGGTTGATCTGGGATTGCTGAAACTGTAGAGAAACAATCTCTCCTTCGCAAAACAGAAGCTTTATCAGAGAGTGATGAGATCAGATACATAACTGTTGAGTTATCCAGGTAGTGGATTCATATATATATATATATAAGGATAGCTGTGCTCATCTGTGTTTGTGAACGTATTTTCCCGGACTGTTACATTGAACAAGAGATCTAGGTGAAGCTGACCATTCTACTGAATAACTTCAACTATTTAGTATCAACTGGAGTTACCTAAATTACTGGATTACACACGTGGTCGATTGAATGCGGTTACCTGATCGAGCTGTATTACCTCTTCTCACCCCCTCAAATAACCACTACCCTGAATGATACCCTATACTTTTACTGTGAAATGCCATCATGTGATAGGATTGATTAATTTTGTCTGAAACATATTTCTGAGCTGCCTAGACTACTTGAATTTATTTCATCTAACATGGAACTATTTGAATTCAGTTAATGATATTACCAAGAATTTGCTTTCTTAAATGTGAACAACTGTTTATCAGAATAAAGTTAGTTGTATTCAAAACATATGTTCTCTCTCGACTGCATTATTACATCTTCCCCCTATCCATCTGTCTCTCTTCCTTTACCTCAAGTACACACATACACACACAGAGACGATCACTTTCTAGACAGAATATTTTTACACCATCATTTCAGTGCTTTCTGACTTGTGTATCAGTAGGCTTCACAGCAAAAGCAAAAGATAAATTTAGAGAACTTTACATTCTGCTTTTACGCAGAAATACAAATTTTCCGCATCAATGCAACACACACTATCCTTGAAGCACATAGAAATAAGCGAATAGCATCGAGGCTTATATAATATGTCTATGTAAATGTATACAGTTTATATTGCTTTGTTCTGAGGGAAAATCTCTTATGCAATGGTATTTTTGCATTCAAAAATGTTTTCCTTTTCACTCCTCCTTCTCCTCCTCGTCGTCGCCTTTCTTCTATTTTTTTTGGCTATATATTTATTAACTAGAGCAAAACCGAATATTCAAAATTATGTGTCAGTTGTTTAAAATGTGTTGATTTTCGCTTTTAGTTCAACAAAAAGAACTGAGTTAAAAAAATACTATTTTTCCTCTCTAGTCCATTGTTTTATGTGATTTATTATTATACTTTCTTTAAAACACACTTAGTCCCTTTACTAAACTAAGATAGTGTTGTTATAAGACAGAGTTTATCAGCTATCTCTGTCATGTATTTCTGCAGTACATTTTGGACGATCCGATCACACACACAAACCTAGATCTTGCCAATTAAGTTCACATAAAGATGCAAAAAAGACCGAACTGAAATCATGCAGTTATAAATTAATCTTATCTTATTATTATCATCATTACTACCTACGGTGGACGCAGGCAATGTTCAGATGATGAGTTCAAGACAGGACGAAACGCTACTTCCTAGATCCACAGCTGGTCACCATTCCTGTTTTTAGGGATCCCAACTACAAAAAATATGTTTTATTTCCAATGAAAACAGAACTAAACGGGGAGTTGTCTTCATTTGATGGACTACTGAAAACCAGGCAGAAATAGATAACCGTCTTGTTCCAGTTAGGGACAGCTTGAAAGCATGCAACGACAACCCGGGACTTTAGGTTTATGCAGCCAGTCCTTCAGCTACCGGGATGGAATTCAGGGGCCGATAAATCCTAGTTTCTGCCTATATGAGGTATACAGCGCAAACGTCCAGGATTCTGTCTACATTGGGTTGTGGGTGTCTACTGCCAAAGAGTGTTGGACCAGGACGAAACAACCGTCAAGTACTCTCTGGTTTTCAGTGGTTTGCTAACTGAAGTCATTTCGTAATTGAAACTGAAATCAATCAAATGCCTGCAAACCAACAATTAAAAAAAATTATTTTTGTTTCTTACAATCAAGTGACAGAAATGGAAGGATACAATTTGATAAGATGTTCAACATCCCATTACTGTCAGTTTCATAACATGTATATAACAATTTATATATCAACAGTGATTCACTTGAAAAAAACATTTAAATTATTGAAGAATGCCATTTCTACTCTGCTAGTGAACCATCAGTGTCCTCGACAATGTGTACACCTTAAGCGCGAAACTTAAGTCGAATAGAGTATATATGAAAACATGTTTCATCTGTTTTAAAATTAAGTAAGATCTTGAGATTTTCACATCATTTGTTCAATGATCGATTGTATATTGGTTAATCCACTTGTAATAACATGGTAGGCCTTGTTTATAACTGCTATACACGACACTTACTACCAGGGAATATCGAGAAGTCTTAAGTAGATTGCATTCCTATAATTTTTGTTTTCCTCTTTCTCTTATTTCAGTTACATTCAAAAAGCCTTTCGGATTTTTTGGTAGAGAAATTCGAGGAGATATTGAAGATAATCAAAATAATGCTAGTATTGGTTCAAACAATACGTAAGTTACAGCTATCATTACGGAAAAATTTATAGACATATATACATTCTTTTATTATTTATTTCCTTCACGTTCCCAGTGGAACATCGGCCTTCAAGCTAGAGGCTTGAAGTTTCTGTAGCAGTGTTTATTTTTACAGGATGGGGTTGCTAGCCTCATGCCCAACCTTCCACCTTTACCAGTCTTATTACTGGATAAGTGAGGTAAAGGAGTGCGTCGGCCGGTGATCGAACCTCGGACAATGTGAATTCTCGGTGAGGATGCTAACCGCTATGCCACCAACGTATATATATATATATATATAATGATTAATTTCTGCTGGTAAATAACCAGTCATCTATTACATGTATGTTTTTCATGGCGAGGCTAGTTGTTTTTAATAGGTGCATTGTTATGCATTTCCACATTTTTGGATGTATACTACAGCTCTGCTCTATCATTCGATTCGATTACTGTTCTTCATTCAGCCGACTGTATTATGCGACCATCATACAGAAAAATAATGAAAGTTTAGTGACGTGACGGAATTCGTATGAAAAAGAAACTATTCTACATCAATAGATAAGACCAATGGATGCATCACATTATGGATTTAGATGACTAACAGCACTAGTTAATAACTGATGCAATGCATTAGTCTCAACTGCTACGGAGTTTCGACGATTGGAACCAAGACTACTAACTTAACCTATACCACAGTATCACCCACATGACCCAACTACCATTTGGATGGTTATCTCACTGCAGACATTATAGATATTATCCTTGTGAAGTAATCATACATAATTGTCCTTTGATTGTTCACATGACCTCACACTGAAGTAGTGTCCAGTTAAGCAGCTAGGTCTCATAGTTTCGTTGGTAGAGTAACGGGCTAGTAATTTAGGGGCTGCATGTTATAAAACCTACAGCAGCTCGAATTCTCAATCCACCGTCAGTAATCACCAAATACACTAGTTGCTGTCTGCTAATCTAAGGCTATTATTTAACAGTTTACTGATAGTATTAGACTGACGTTATTATAGGTATGGTTTTGACAATATTGAAATAAGGCTGAATGTAAGATATCAGAACTGTCCAAACTGAATGCTCAGGAAAACGGAGAAATTGCATACAGATGCAGGTGGTGTTCCTTTTAAACAGAGTAAAAGTTATCAATTCGTTTAACACCTGACGGTGTAAAAATGAAATCTTAATCAAATATGAATCTGCATAAGGCGTCGGTGGCACAGGGGTTAGGACGCTCGCCGACCATGCACATGGTCAGGGGTTCGATCCCCGGCCGACGTATTCCTTTACCTCGCTAGGCCAGAAATAATGCCACCAAAGAGGAAAGGTTGGGCATGAGGCTAGCAACCCTATCCTGTAAAAATGAACACTGCTACAGAAACTTCAAGCCGATAGCTTAAAGCCCTATGTTCCACTGGGAACGTGAAGGAAAGATTATTTATTATTATTTTTAAATATCCCCTAAAAGTAGCTTTTCACCGGTTTATTTGTGGAAAAAATAAATAGCAATGACAATCTCTTGCACATAGAATAGCTTATAAGAGAAAAAACTACAATTGTTAAGACTCTAATAAGAATGCAAAATGTAGACTGGTCGCATGTAAGAGAAGAATCCATAGACTGAATTTTAAACAGTCTAATATTCATTCTTTTATGATTCTACCCTGTAAGACTACTCAGTATGCATATACCATTTGTAAGGTTTTCTAATCTCCTCTTGAATAAGTAACAAGCACGTTTTGATAATAGCAATTCTTCCATTGTGTAAAATCTGACTTGCATATGCATACACATATCTCATCAAACCATATAGTAATTAGAGTTGTCTTCCCATTAATAAAATAATAAGCATAGTTGAGATAATGAAATTATGAACTTGTGTTATAATGGAAAAATAAAAGTAGATTTTAGAGGAGAAACAACAGTCAGGTGATTTTTAAGGTAGCGAAAGTGACCAAAACTGAATAAATCTTAATATTTTTGAATGATTTTGAATAACACTGTGTGACGGTCGCAAATAATAAGTTCAATCATTTGAAGTAAGTTAAACCCAGTATTTCAATAAAAACTTCACACAAATATCCACTCTTTAGATTTAGTTACAGTTAGCTTTTCTAGGACTTCATACTCCTGTAAATTGCATGACTTTCTTCTGTTGAGTGGTTATTTATTTATATTGTTATTTCCTTGAGTTTCAAATGGAATATAAGGCTTCAGCAGGACATCCGTATTTCTCTGTGTTCTCAGCAGTTCTTTGTAACTGGCTTGAGGGATTATCATAACCTCCCACCTCCGCCTTACACAACCTTACCTGCGTTACACTCAAACACCACCCAACACATTGTTTCCCACATTTTCCCAATCACGTTCCATTCCAAGGCCTTGAACACTGAACGGTCTTGTCAAGATACATCCAATCAGTCTCTGTTATCATCATCTGCACATTTATTGGTCATTGGGTACTTGTTTGCTCGGTTAACAAAGTTCTTCGTTACTAGTCCTTTCGCGCTATTTGATCTTCAGTATCGAGTGAAGTCAGCTGTTGATAAAAGTTTGAAAACTTTTGGAAATGCTTTCAGTGACGCACCAAGTCTCTGAACCATATGGAAGAACTAGATGGGTTAACATTTCTATCGAAAATCCTAACCTTGTTCCTTATGCTAAGTGCAGCAGATTTTCTCACTGACTTCGGATTAATGAATAGCTATCCTGCTCTTTGGGTACAGACTGACTTTTGTACCCTGATCTGTGCCGTCTTTAGGTGAAACAATGCATCTCCGTTGAGTGAGACAATTGACTACCTTCATTTTTGTCCGTTGATAGTGATTCGTGCCTCTTGTTGATGTCGTCATCGTTGTCCATTACGCACCTTCATCACCTCTGCCTTCTCTGCCATTAGACACGAATCGTCCGGAATGTCCATATTTTCCAACACCTTTCGTCTGTCCAATATACAATCTTCTTCTCGTGCCCCATGATTCAGTCTACCATAGTCAGGAATATCATCGATGGCAGTAGGTAGCATTGTTATCAACTCAACATTCAGAAACACAATTGAGAAGAAAAGATATCCAAGATAACTGGCCTAGTTTTCATGCATAAATCTACTCTTCAGACTTCAAAATTAGTCACTGTATGTTTTCATTTCAGGCCTATGATATCTTGAAGGGGTGTAATTAAAAGTTGTAAGATTTTTAAATCCTGTAGATTCGAATGGCATATCAGGTAGTTATATAGTAAGGCTTAACTAACTGATTTGCAATAAACTTCTTATTTGATTGACAGCCGGGTACTTCATGGACGTCAGATAAGATGAAGTGACGATAAGGTCAGCTGGTCTTTGTCATTCCAATCTTGAGTATTTTGTCGACATTTATTAAACAACTTTTAAAAGATAATGCGTAGGTTTTTAGTAAATATTTATAGGAGATAGACCTGTCTACCACGGATGCTATAAAATTTACTAATTCATGCTGACATAGGTTACTTTGATCTGTCTGAAATCCGCCTTCCGAAAGACTAGAGGAATTAGTCATGGAACGTTTTTACTGGTAATCTGTTTAAAATTGATTTCTTTGAAATGCAAAGCACCTGTGTGTAAATCACCTATTGACATCATGGAAGTTGGTGTTCGATAGCTAAATGTACTCATATGAAAAATTTCACTATTATGTGATAAACCAGCCTTACTCAATCTTTGTTTCCAAATAGATGGCAAATTCTGCACATGATTATAGTATTCAGTTTGTGCTGGCAGATTTCCGCGCTGACTACAAATCATTTTCATTACTGTATTTTAGAAGATTCACTCAGAAGGTGATTATTATAAAGCATTATAACAGGTCTACAGACGACTATGAGAAAGACATGTATGGATATAATACTAACTGTGACGCTTGTTTATTAGCACAAAATGCTTCTCCACTAATCAGCACACCAATTTAAGATTCGGAAGCTGGAAAAAACTAAAAGAGAATAAACAAATGTTATTGACCAATAAATGTTACAACACAAAGATTCAAAGATGTAGATGTAGATTATTGTGAAAATATTATGTAACGAAAGTTAGAAATCTGGGTATGCATGTATCAGTCTAATAAAAGTTAAATCTAGTGATCTATATTTCTATTTGTCGAAGAATTCATTTAGAAACGTAACGCTGACAGTCTTCTTCTGGAGCAAAACCAACTCGACACTGAAATGAAGCTTTGGAATACTGCTGGAAAACAGGCGTTTTCATTGTAGATGCACTAACTGTTTGAATAAAGCAATAAAAACAGTTTGTGCGGAATAAAATCGTACCATCATTTATTTCATTGGCTTTTCATCAGCTGCTTGCGGCCAAGAGACACTATTAAGTTTATGTGCAGAAACAATTTTAACATACACAGCAGTTGGTAAAAAGTCAACGAAATAAATGATGGTACGGTTTTATTCCACGCAAACTGTTGTTCTTGCTTCATTCAGATTTCATAAAGGGGAATAAATGTACGGGGTCACTAATTATTAATATGCAAAGAAATCAGTCTATCAAATGTAGGTTCACTTATTAACAAATCCGTTTTATCCGAGAAAAACACTGTGATTAGCTGAGGTAGATCTAGTTGGACAGATTGGTGTTAATTTACTCAGAAAAAAAGATAAAGTCTGAATGACGATCAGCAACTGCATCAGGAATTGTCTCGGTGAGGCCCGGAATACTGAACCTGTACTTTGTCGACACTTGTCCCTCAAAAGAAGTTTAAAGCTAATCATACTGTTAAGATTACATGATCAGAAATAATTTAGGTATTCATTGATTTTTTTCAAAAACCGTTTCAAAAATCTATGTTGATAATGAACTTAGCAATTTGGGATTTTGCAAATATCCATCCGTGATCAACTCGTATAAACAAAACTAACCCTGACAAATCAACTATAGAAAATATGGAACAATTCATAAAAGGCTGTCACGTTTTATTCTGTGCTTTTTTACAAAACTTCTGTATGCT